AGTCAAACTACTAGATAAACGTATGAATATCACCTACTTTGAACCATTAACAGAGAATAATAATAAAGAATGAACGAGTGAGGTACGATAAATATAAATAAGCGATGAAAATGACCATCTAACCTTTCGATAAGCTCCTGATTATAAAGTTGGCCAGCAGGGGTGAGCATGATGCCAATCTCGCGTTGGCTTGCAGAAATAAACTCTTGACAGGAGAGGCGTTGAGTGATGATGGAAATAAAAGGTAGTCCAAAGGAGATAGGGGCAAATGTGGCCAATCGGGCCAAGGATATTCGGTCAGCCTGTTTAGGTTTGATTAGGAATGATAGATTCGCATTGGAATATTACGTCATTATTATCAGGTATTCATGGAATGGCCCTGACTAAAAGAATTTTTTGTCTGGTGTTTCGTGATATCCCAACTCAAGTTCCCTAAAGCTGAGCATGTTAGGAATCCAAAGATACAAGGATATCATGGAATCTTTATAGAATAAATAAATACTAATTATCCATTAAGAGTTGTAAGGATCGATACAACGAGATTCTAAGATTTCCTCATGCTAATTTTAATAAGTGAAAAAATCAACAATGCTAGCGCAATAATATACATGTGTTAAGGAAAAAACACAAAAAGCGAAGAAACAGTTGAGATTCAATAACTCACATGATCCATGCCAGAAGTGTTAAGGAAGAGTCTACCGATCATGGATGAGAAACAGACTTGAGCCTTGTGAGCAAAATCTATGTAGGAAGACGAATTGAGATCGATAGAGATGGGGAAGCCCAAAGTTTGACGCAATTGGTGCCAAAATTGCGGGGCATCATGAACTAACGAGGGGAAAAGAATTAATTCGCATAATAATAATTATTATTACTTGTTTAAAAATATATAAGATATGTATTAGCATGGAAAATGATAGTGTTATCACGAATAAACCTTGGGGAATCAAAAATATAACTTAATTATTAGACATGACCTGAATGTATGGGAAACTCATTCAAAATTATACAGAAGCACTGAGTTTTTTATATCACATTATCTAGCTCTTAGGTCAAAATAACTTAGAGGTAAGTGAAGTAAAGTTTCGCTTTTCAAGTGTTGGTTTGACCTTGTTTTGGCAACTTGGCCGGAGCGTCAGAGAGACCTTGTGGAAGTTACCTAGTCCCGTGTCCTATGCCATAGTATTCGTGATTTCCAGCACTAAACCATTGGCTGGGTACATTCGGAAACGTTTCGCCGGCATCGTCAGTAGGAAGCGCCATCATGAGCACAGAGTTACAATTAATCAAAGTGACAAGTGAAGTGAATGTGTGAATTAGTGGATGAACCAAATAAGTGAGGTTGAGATAAAAAGATGCGGCACTAGAATGTAAAACAAAACATAGGGGCGAGGAGTGATATCACAACGTTTGAAGAGAAAATGGTCGAGGGGATTGCCTTCACTTTCCATTCTGATAAGTTGTAACTCTGTGCTTATGATGGCACCTCTCAATGACGATACTGGCGAAGCGTTTGGTATTGCACCTGGCCAATGGTCCAATGCTGTAAATCATCAATACTATGGCAGAGGGCATGGGAGTAGATATGTTCTACAAGGTATCTTTTAGGCGTCCGACCAAGTTAAAAAACAAGGTCGAACCAACATTATAAAGCAAAAGGAG